GGTTGCACCATTTTACACTCCCACCAACAGTGAATAAGGGTTTCAGTTTCTCCACAATCTCGCCAGCATTTATTGCTTGCTGTTCTGTTAAATTTTGCTATTTTGACTGGGGTGAGATGATATCTCATAGTTGTTTTTATTTGCATCTCTCTTAGGGTTAGGGATTTGGGGTATTTCTTCATGTGCTTGTTAGCCATCTGAATGTCGTCTTCGGTGAAGAAGATTTTGTTAGAGGCAGGAAGGGAGGAAGGAAGCAAGAACGTGTTGAATTTTCCTGTGTATCTTTGTCTAGAGTGGTGGAAGAGGATGATATGTGAGATTATCTGCTAGGTTGTGATCAGAGAAGGAGGGGAGGTGATGTTTTATTTAAGGGTCAGGATAGGAAAAGCAAGAGAGTAATATTTTAGTTGTAAAATATTTTTAAGATTTCATTTTTACTAGGAAGTTAGGTATGAGGAGATTAAAAAGAACTGAGCAGGATGAGTAGATAGCCAGAAAGTAAAAAGCAGAGAGCTATAAAGTTTGGCTGTAGTTTCAGGCTGGGTCTGGGTTAGTGGGAAATTCATGGGGAGTAAGTAAGAGAGATGAAAGGGGAGGGAAAAAGGAAGTGGGCTTTGAGTCCTAGGTAGACTTGGAGAGGGCCTCTTGTGGTGAGGATACATTTGTGTATGGCAGAAGTGGGAGAGCAGGAAATTGTAGGGGGTGCAGCAAGATCAAAGGTAAGGGAGTTTTGATTGGGAAGGGGTGAGGTCTTAGAAAGAGTTAAAAGAACTTGCTAAGTAGGGTATTTTTGACAGAGAAGAACAATGAGAGGCAGTTTTGACAGAGAGAGAGAAGGACAGAGAGCATGGAGCAAAGAAAGCCTGAATGTAGGGGATTCTGACCATTTGCCATTGCATTGGAAGAAATTGCCAAAATTCCTGAAAGTGTTAACTCAAGCATCCCATTTTAGGGCTATGGTGACCTATTATTTAATTGATATTGTGGCTATGCTGTGTAATAAGAGAGTATCAAGGGAGCAGAGGAGACACCCCCAGTGGAGTGTACCAAGAAGGGAAGAATTGGCTGGCTCCCATGATTTGGGGTAGAGGGCTAAGTAGTGAGGCTTCCTGGAGAGAGAGACATAAGGGAAGAAGGTGTCCCCTATTTCCCTTTTGTACTCATAAGAAGGCCTGTTCATGATGTGAGCATTCCAGCATTGGGAAAGACTGGCCCAGGTGGCTTAGGGATCTTCCTGGCCTACCCCTAAGACTTTTAGAGTCCAAAGAGAGCAGGAGACCCAAGAGAGGAGAACCACCACCACCTACCCCATATTGGTCTGGTGTTCAGGAGACCAGCAATGGCAAGAGGTAGAAAGCCCTGGAGAAGGGTGTCCTCTAGGCATTTTAAGGTTGGGTGATCAGAAAGCGGATCAAGGCCATGGAGGAGTGAAATGAACTAGGGTGATCCAGCACATCCTGGGTACCTTTAGGCCAGTATAGAGAAACATGTTACATGAAGGAGAGAAAGAAGCCAATTCCAGAGAATCTTAATATGCAATCAAGACAGACTCCAAGGAGGAGAGAAGGAGAGTAAGAGAATTCGGGTTAGTTACCTCTTGGCAGGAGCCTCTCCCAGGTGTTCAGCACCAGAAATACGTTAAGTCTCCAAGGAAGAACAGAACCCATATTAGGCCAAGAAAGACAGTTTACTGAGGAGAAACTGCAGAGCTGGCTCTAACACAGAAACCAGCACCTACTTGAAAAGGTAGAATGGAATTTTATATCGTCTTACAAGGAAATTGGGAGTTAAGGTGTTTGTAGCTGCTTGATACAAGATAAGGGAGCAAGTCAGGGGTCATGGGTAGTTATTCCTGGGAAAGGGAAATAAAATAGTTTTGCAGCTCTAACAGAGATAAACAGAGATGCAGCTACTACTTTGATAATCACTGTGGCTGCTCTGGGGAAAGGGAGGGAGAGCAGCTCTGGGGCCCTGACACATTCCAAAGAATTATTAAAAGTAAAAGCCTCAATAACAATTTTCTCTATAACATACCATCTTTCCAAACAAAACAAAATAGTGTCCATTGAAAACATTTTATATAAGATCTAAAAATATTTTGCACCTTCTTAATATAGTAATACTTAGAATATTTCACTACTTCAGAATGAGGATCCCTGAGAGTATAGTGGGCAATACTAACCACCAGTTACTCCCAAGGAAGAAACATGAAACAAATGGAAAGGTTTATAGCCTAAGAAACCTGATGAAGGGAAGCTATGAGTTGGAACTGACTCAATGGCAATGAGAGTATGATTTTATTTAGAAAATTATAAAAATATTTTTGTGGAGGGAGCTCTGGTGGCATAGTGGCAAGAAGCTGCACTGCAATCCCAGAGGCACATGGTTCAAATCCACCAGATGCTCTGCTGGAGAAGGAGGGGCAATCTCCTTGTGTACCAGTCAGATCCAATTTGATGGTACACTCAGTTATCATACCTTAGTGAATAACACTAGAAGGGAAAATACAAAGGTTCAGAAGATAATATTGCAAAGTTCCTAATGTTATTTTTATTGTGATTTCAAAGGCTTAAATATCGAAGAGAAAAGCCAGAAAGAACTAAATTACACTATCTCTTACAATTCATAATTACCTTCTTACTCAGTGTAAATGTGTCTCACTTTTACAGCTGATAAAATTCTGAGATTATGTGAAAGTCAGTTTTACAAACAGCATATCCTAAATTTACCAGAAATCTTTCTACGTTAAAAAAAATCCACCAACCCAATAATTATTTTTTAAACGCAAAATCTTCCTTTAATGCAATTAACACCTCTCACTAATTTATTGGGAAACAAGAAGGTTTTCCCTGGTAGATCAGAGAGAGTTTTGCTTATGTTTCACAGTTTTGTTGTTGTTGTTGTTAGATGTCATCAAGTCACTTTCAGCTCATAGCAAGGACTCTATGCACAACATATTGAAACCTCATCCAATCTTGTGCCATTCACTGTCTCCACTGTTATAGTCACAATATCAATCCATCTCATTGAGGTTCTTCCACTCCTTTTGTGATCCTCCACTTTTCTAAGCATGATATCCTTTGCCAAGGGACTAGCCCCTCCTTCCTGACAATTTGTTCAAAGTATGTAAAATAAAATCTCACTAACCTTACATCTAAGGAGCATTCTGGCTGCATTTCTCCCAAAACAGATTTGTTTGTTCTTTTGGCCGACCATACTATAAGCGATATTCTTTGTCATCAATACAATTCAAATGTATTACTACTATACTAGAAAATTGTTGTTGTCATCATTCAAAACCAACTTGTAGCTGACCAGACACACAAACTGCACAGAAGAAGATTGCTTATCTTTCTCTCATGGAACCATGTTCCTTTGGGTTGGCAGAGCAACCCCTTTCACTAAGCTACCAGAGCTCCCTACACTATATAGTAGTAATAGTGAATACTTCTAAATTATTATGTTTTGTGCATTACACTGAGTACTTTATTCAGATGGTAGTTTAATCCATACAACACATCTATGAGGTAGCTACTATTATTACCCTCCTTCTACAGATGAGAAAGTGAAGCTGGTCAAAGCTACTCATCTAATTAAGTGTGGAGTCAGGATTTGTATCAGTGTGTCTCCAAAAAACCCACTACTTAAATAACTGTTTAGAATCCTTTAATATATCTATAAATTCATCAAAGTAGGTTCTACAAGATGATACATCACAGTGATCAACTGGAACTTAACTATTATCCCAATAAACCCAACTATCATGAGATACTAAACCCAGGTATTCTGATTCCGTTTTCAAGCTCAGTATTCTTTCTATTACATTAAATACTAAATATTAAGTTTTCTCAAAGCAGTGTGCTTTCAGTGTGCTCCACAGCAAGAACACAATTTTACTTAGTATCTTCCTTTTTCCCCCCATGTAATTCAGGGTGTAAATTCACTGGGGAAAATAGCAGAAACAAATCTACATTGGTTAAATCATCTCATCACAAAACTTGCAGCATATTACTAGAGATCATTTACTCACACTTGATAAACCCACTCATTCACTCTCTGTCAATTTGAAACCAACTCATAAATAACTTTCCATTGGGTTTCTGAGGCTATAAATTGCACTCAAGAATACTGTCATCTTTCTCTTTTTGAGTTATTGGTGTTTTAGAATCACCAGATAGACATGCCTCTGGGTTTAGGGGAGCAGCTCTCTATAGCCTATCCCATCAGAGCTTCCTAACATTTGATAAAGAGATCTGAAATTTTTTTGCAGAGTGAGCTAGCAACTATAAGAAGCTATCTTGGATGATGGTGAAAGCTGAACTCTAAAGTCTGGCTTCTAGGTTCAAATTTCACTTCACCAATCACATGACCATATGCATTTGTTGAAACTCTACATCCCTTGGTTTTTATATCTGTAAAATGGGGATGATAATAGTTTCCTACTATACTCTAAATGATTGCCATGAACATTTAATGATCTACTACATGTAAAGTGCTTAGAATGCTGATATATAGTGGCACTCAATAAGTTTACACTACTAATACATGCAAAATAAGATATGCTTTTACACAATATAGAAAGCATATTTTCAATTACCTTTCTCAATTTTAAGATACTATTGTTTTCTCTTCAAAATTGTATTGAAAATTATATTCTATTTTTTAAAAAAATTTATTCCTTTAACCATTAAGCATTATTCAATAACTATAACCTACTGAATAACTGTCAGTCCACTATAGCATATTTCATCATTTTTCTCATTTATCATTCATTTTACTAAAAATATCTGGCACTGTATCACTACTTAATTATTTTGTGTATAGAGTTCCATTATTGAATTCCTTTCAGGAAAATTTCAAATTACTTTCAGTTTGTCAGTTTTAAAACAAAAGAAAAAGAAACCAATGCCATAAAAAATATAGAAATAAACAAAAAAAAATTATACCTGAATTGTAAACCTTTGTTGTTTGCTCAGTTATATTTCCAGGTTCCATGGAGGGAAGATTTGCAAAAAAATCTGATCCAAAAGCTCTTATTCTAAAATCTGAAGGCATTAGAAAGGCTCAGAGTACCAAAGAAGGAAGTAAGAAAACATTAACAAAAGAAGTCACAACAGCAGACTCTGCACAATCCTTGAGCTCAAGGAACAAAAAGGAGCCAAAAGGAAAAGCAAGATGGGCTGAATTGGAGAAAGAAAAGCTAAAAATGGAGGTCAAGGAAAAGGAGAATGATGTGTTAAAAAAACAGGAAGCCCAAGTAGAGGAGAGTTATGATCGAAAACTAGAAATACAGGAGGAATCCCAAGTAAATAAGAGTGATACCAGAATACCAAAAGGACAGGGACTTCACACAAAGCTAAGTGATACCACCAGAACACCAGAAGAACAAAGACCTCAAGTAAAGAAGACTGAAAGCGGAATACCTAAAGAACAAGAATCTCAAGTAAAGAGTGATATAGGTATACCAAAAATGCAGGAATTTCCAGCAAAGAAAACTGACACAGACATACTAAAAAGACATGAATCTCCAATAAAGAAAAGTGATACTGCAATATCGAAAGAACAGAAACCTCAAGTAAAGAGTGATGCAGGCATGCCAAAAGGACAGGAATCTCCAGTAAAGAAAAGTGATACGGAAATACCGAAAGAACAGTAAAAAGTGATAAGACAGGAAAAAGACAGGACACTCCAGTAAAGACTGATACAACCAGACCAAAAAGCCAGGAATTTCCAGGAAAGAAACATGAAACAGGCATATCAAAAAGGCAGGAATCTCCAGTAAAGAAAAGTGATACTAGAATACCAAAAGCACAGGAACCCCAAGTAAAGAGTGATACAGGCATACCAAAAAGTCAGCAACCTCCAGTACAAAAAAGTGATACTGGAATACCAAAAACACAGGAACCCCAAGTAAAGAGTGATACAGGCATACCAAAAGATCAGGAATCTCCAGTACAGAAAAGTAATGCACGAAAACCAAAAGAACAGGAATCTCAAGCAAAGAAAACTCATAGCGGAAAATCAAAAGAAAAGAAATCCGGTGAAAAACAGAAAGATACCACTGTACAAAAAGCAGAAGAATTTCAATTGCCAAAGAGTGATACTGGAAATGCCAAAAGGACAAGCATCTCAACCAAAGAGTGACATTGGAATAGCAAAAATACAGGAATCTCAAGTAAAGGAGAGTGATACACCAAAAAGACATGAATCTCAAGTGACAAAGAGTGATACTGAAATGCCAAAAGATCATGCAAAAGCAAAGGAGGAGAGTGCTGTAATAACAAAAGAAACAGAAACCAAAGCAAAGCAGAGTGATGTACTACTAACACCAAAAGACAAAGATCAAGCAAAGGATAAAGGAAAGGAAGCCAAGGAAAAGAAAGAAGATACAAAGAAAGACAAAGGAGGGAAACATAAATAAGAAAGGTGATTGTAGGAAAGGACAATGTTAAGACAAAGAAGGAAGCAGAAGTCAAGGGTTAAAAAAGCAGAAGTCCCAGCTAAAGGCAAAGGCAAGTAAAGAAAGGAAGCACAGTAGAAAACATAGGAGTAAGAGTAAATAAAAGGAAGACCCATAAGACAATTGATTCTTTTAATTATAATTACCCAGACCCATCCAAATACCAGTCAAATGTCCAAATATATGGTAATTACAAAGTCTTTTAATCCATCCCAGAGAGTTCGCCCTTTAGAAACAAAGGTCACCATTTTTAGGGATCTCAATCACAAGCTATAGCTTCTGAATGTTTGTTTCATAAATTGGTACTTCTATTATTCAACCAGGAAAGATTGAACATTTTCTGAAATAAAGCATTTTGATTTTTAAAAGGCATAAGAATTTTCTTTGACAAGTATTATATTTCTATGATATCCAACCTGTCAGATTGTGCCTAATAATGTGTACAAGGCACTGTGTTATCACTAAGAGATATATAAATAAAAGTAGAAGTCAGGTAGCTTATAACATATATAGAGATTTAGTATTCTTGACAATGAGTAAGGATTTGAAAAGTAAATCTAGTGCCAAAAAAAATATTTGTTTACATAGGCAGCATAATAATGCTTCTTGAGTCTCTTAAGATGAGAAGGTAAAAAGGTAAATTGATGGGGAAAAAAGGTAGTGGCATATAATGTGTTTCGAAAGATTGATTAAAATGTGTATATGCTGAATGAAGTAGAAAAAAAATGCAAGAAAGGCAAAAGAGTTACTGACAGTTAGGTCATGTTTTAGGGTTAGTGTTCTATATAATAGATTAATTTGTTATAGTAGTAGGATCATGGGATGCAATATAGGGTATCATTTTATAAATTAGGGTTAGAAGATTCTGAAGGAACATAAAAAAACAAGCCCAGAACTTACACTTTACATTCGAGACAATGAAAAATCTTCTGGAGTACGTAAGGAGAAAAAGGAAGTGAATAATACAGCATAAGAGAAAATGTTAGTCTTGTCACTGTGCAAAAAGACTGAGGGAAAGATTCAGGTATGAACTTAGCCATGCAGTTGGGATAGTAAGGATGGAATAAATGCAAACACGGATATTTTTCAAGAGAAATTACTATTTCATGATAAATAGCTGTATATGAATAAGAGGAGTAAATAAAATGCCTGATGACTTCATAACTTTTAAAATTGAGAGGGGGAAAACTCAATAACAAATTTACTTATTTCTATCAAGTTGGAACCAACTCATAGCTGACTCTCCAGGGACTTTCGAAGGCTGAAAATCACACAGAAGGAAACTGTCCATCTTTCCCCACAGAACTGCTGGTGTATATGAACCACCAGAGAGGCATCATATTTGGATAAACAACAAAATGCCCTCCATATTACACTACTAGAACTTCCTAGGAAGCTGAGGGGACAAACAGTAACATCTGTACTATGAAAAAGGTCTAGTCAAGGTAACAAGAGCTCTTCACAGAAGAAAGTATAGAACTAAGAAAAGCAAATGTCCAAGAATTTACTTTCTTCTATATAATAAAGAAGAAAGTGAATGAATGGATGAGAAGAAAGATGTAAAATTTTCACAATGTAATGCACTGATAATTAAAGTTTGAAGAACAATGGCTAAAGGATAACTTAGACTTCAAGGAGAATAAGGACTTAAGAGACCATTGTAGTTGTTATATGTAGATTACTTCCAAATTTGTAAAGAGCATTTTTTAAAGATAAAGATGTTAAAAGTGGCTGTAAATAGTATACTGAGGTATTAGCTGTAAGATAGTTGTACTTTCCAAAAATAAATCTTTTAAAGTATATATTTTAGGGATTTTATTATGCCCTGAGTATTACATTCAGTTCTATCATGGTATAGACAAGTTAAATTGCCTTCACAATAACCACAATGAGGTAGTATCTCACTCCAGTAAGAGTAGCAAAGTTTAACAGGGCAGCAAGTAATACATGTTGGAGAGGATGTGGCAAGAAAGGAACTCTATATATCACACATTGTTGCTGGGATTGTAAAATGATGCAACCATTCTGGAAAGCAGTGTGGCACTTCCTCAAAAAAGGTGAACAATAGAAATTCCATATGACTCCACTACTTGGAATATACCCTGAGAATATGAGAACTGAGGCACAAACTGAGATTTGTACACCAATGTTCATAGCAACATTATTCACCATCTAAAGAAAATGGAAACAGACCAAATGTCCAACCACAAATGAATGGCTTGAGGAATTGTGGTACATTCACACAATGGAATACTATGCAGCACGCAAAAGCAATAACTTTGTAAATTATTACTTAACTTGGGAGGGATTGGAGAACATTATGCTGAGTGAACTAACTCAGTCCCACAAGGATAAATATTGTATAAGACCATTATTATAGAAGGAGTATAAGGATACAGGATGGGTGGGAGAGGCTGGAAGCAGAGAGATGTAGAGGGGATTAATCATTAGATTATACAATTTGATTGGTGGGTGGGTGAGGGAAATTGAAAGAATTTGTTCAAATTTATATTAGAATTTTGTAAATAAACTAGTAGGGGGGAAAAGTCAGCTTTGGGCAGTAGAAGGGACGGAAAGGGTGGTAAAGTGTGCAAGAATGAATGAATGAATGAATGAATATCTAACTTTACTGTAAACTTTTGTTAAAATGACAATTAAATTTTATTTTTTTAAAAAATGGAAAAAAGATAGATTGCCTTCAGAAGAGATAGCCTACCCACAAAGGTAAGGGGATTAAAATAATTTAAAGTGACATCACAGGTCTTATAGTTTTGCCTGGGTAAAAAATATAAGGAGGTATTATTCTCAAATATGAAAAAGATCCAGCAAGAGTTGGAAAATGAGTCTGCACGGCTTCAAGGAAATAAAACCAAAGAATGGAAAGTACAAACTAACAAACTGACAGAACAATCAATGTTGTGGTGTTGGAGAAGAGCACTGAATATTCCATGGACTACCAAGAGAACAAACAGATCTATCCTGGAAAAAGGAAACCGGGTGCTTCTTGGAGGCAAAGATGATGAAACACATCACTCATACTTTGGGAATGTTGTTAGGAAGGGCCAGACCTTGGAGAAAAACATCATGCTCTGGAAGATGGATAATCTCTGTAAGAGAGAAAGATCATCAACAGTGTGGACTGATACAATTACTGGAACAATGGGCTCAAGTGTGTATCAGAGATTTTAAGTATAGCACAGGATAGGGCAGAGTTCAGATCCACCATTCATAGACTAACTAGGACTAGTAATGGACCCAACTGCACTTAAAAGCAATGATAAGAAATGGGATGTCTAAAAGAGTTTAAGAATAAACTCTAGAACCATTCTATGGAAATGCTGCAGAAAATACCCTTAGGAGACAGCTGAATGATTGGAATGAATTATGCTTTCTCCAAACCTGAGAGACTATAATTCCAAGTTTAAACTTCTGTTGGACTAACTAGATGTGGACGAATATCTTGATAAACCAACTTCCTAGAACTTTGATGTAAAAATGAGAGACAACAGATGTTAAACCATGCCTCAAATATAAAATATTTCATAAATTTTCATGGTACTCAACTATCACCTGAAAAGAGCTACTCCATAGCTTCTTATACAATCCAAAGAACTCTGTGGTTCCCTACTCTTTGTTTACAGCTCTGTCACATTCACAAAAGAAACCTTGGTTTAGAACAAAGAGTCTAATTTTGAGGCCTTTTGTTAACCACATAGACAGAAATAGCAAGATAAAAATGCCAGGGGGAAATAAAGAGGGGAAGAATAGTCAATGATTATTTTATTTTTATAATGTAAAATATGCTTCTAAAAACACATAGATATTTCACCAGTTGTGAGTGGCCTATCTCTTATACACATTATCCATACATTGTTGTTATTGAGTACCATAGAGTCAAAACTAACCCATTGTTTACCCTCCTGTGGGTTAGTTGTTCCTCCAGCAGGTTTTCAGAGGCTGTTAATCACATGGGAAGAGATTGCCCATCCTTTTCCCACAGAGCAACTGGTGGCCTCAAACCATGTGCCTTTTGGGATTGCAGCAGAGCTTCTTGCCACTAGGCCACCAGAGCTCTGCATTATTCATTTAACAGGGGAAAGTTGTAATGAGATTGTTATGATCCTAGCATTATTTCTCTATTAACTGTCTCTAGGCCATCTGACAAGGAGCTTATAGCATTTCTCAGATTTTTTCTAAGGAACAGGAACTCTGAAAAAGCAACTACTAAAAAGAGATAAACCAGCCACCTAGTTTAGTTAATTATTTATGCATATATCCTACTAAACCAAGAATTTAAAAGATATATATCTATTTCCTAGCTCTAAGAGAGATGAAAATCCAAACAACTATGAGATATCATCTCAGCCCAGTAAGAATAGCAAAATTTAAGAGTAGCAAACAACAATTGCTGGCGAGGTTGTGGAGAATCTGGAACTCTTATTCACTGTTGGTGGGAGTATAAAATGGAACCACTATGGAAGGCTGTATGGCTCTTTCTCAAAAAGTTGCAAATAGAAATACCATTTGACCCAGCAATTCCTCTACTAAGAATATACTCTAAAGAAATCATAACTATCACCAGGAAGATAATATGCACACCCATGTTTATCACGGCTTTGTTCACAATGACAAAGAGTTAGAAACAACCTAAGTGCCCATCAAGAAATGAATGGATAGAGAAGCGGTGGTATATTCCCACATGGAATACTATGCTGCATTGAAAAACAAGAAACTCATGCAATATTATTCAAAATGGGTGACCCTGGAGGACATTATGCAGAGTGAAATATCTCAGTCACAAAAGGACAAATACTGCATAGTGCCACTGTTGTAGAACAGGACTGACATCAGTGTTGGGGTGAGACTAAGAAAAATTGGATAAATTATGTAAACTGCATTGAAACAGATGAGGGTGAGAACAGTTTAAAAGCAGTATATGATAGGGTATTATGGTTATGACAAGAGTCCAGAATGAAGGCTGCATAGTGGAGTGTACTGGGGGGGCCGGGGGGGGGCAGATTGAATACCAATGAAAGAATTTTACTTTTCAAAGACAAGAGTGAACTGGCGAGGAGAGGTGGGCAGGGAGAAAAATGCAACAATGAATGAATGAAAATCCAAAATCTCTGTAAACTTTCATTAAAATTAATAAAATGTAAAACAAAAAGACATGTATCTATATAAAGCTCCTTGTCTCTTCTTATTTGTAGTTAAGAAAACATTTTCACATGCATTAAGTTTATACGTCAGTCATGCTATAGATATTTTATAGCTAAGGCTATAGGTATCAGAAAATTTGGTGAATCATTCCATGATCTTTAGGCATTGAAAAGCAGGACTGTTAAAAATGATTGTTTATCTTTCATTAAGACATTGTTTTTAAGTCTCATTATCATCAAATAAGCACTGACTCATAGATGACCGCTACACATTTTCAAAAATTATAAATCATATGGAAATGGATTGCTCATTTTTGTCCTTTTAAGGAGCTGGTAGATTTTAACTGCCTGTTCTTGGATTGACAGTCCAGCTTCTTACTTGCCCACTAGGCCACCAGAATTCCCTTCATTATGATACAGGTATGCCAAATGACCTGTTTACAACAAAAAATAGAAACCTACCAGAAATTATGTTGTTTTAGAGTAGAACACAAGCCAAAATAAAAAATTTTAAAAAGTGGAAAAACAGTTTGAAAATTACAAAGCTGGACGAGCAATAAAAGGATACTGAAAAATAAACAACTTACACTATGAGTCCTGAGCAAAACTTTTCTGATTGGAATTGCATTAATAATGTGATTGCTTATTAAGCTGCAGGAAATAGCTAAGAGAGGTGAGATTCTGTGCCCAGACTGAGCACTCTCCATTGCTTGTGAGGAGATGGGACTGAGGCTTCTCTGGGAATATAGGTCCTTCCGTCTGGGGATCCTTGCTTCTGTGACAGCAGGGCCATGTCAGGGGCCAAGCAGAAAAAGAAATTTCAGGGCACAGAGTTACAAGCAGAGGAAAGACCTTCTTAGATCTCCATGAAAGGGAGAGCTGACTTGAGACTCCTGGCAGACAAGCTATTTGAGCTGGTGGCCCTGATCTCATGCCACTCCAGAAACAAAAGAAGACATTGTTTCAGGTGAAAAAGTGAGGAATATGAGAATCTGTGCCTAGAGTGAATATTTTCCATTGCTTTTTGGAAGACAAGACTGAGATTTCCCTGAAGATATAGGTCCCTCCATTGAGGGATCCTTGCCTCTGTGACTGTGGGGCCAAACAGAGTAAGAGTCTTTGGGACACAGAGCTACATGCAGAGGAAAGACTTTCTCAGGTCTCTGTGAGAGGGAGGAATGACTTGAAAACCCCCTCTCAGGCCCCACCCACAGCACAGAAGCTGCTTGAACTGCTAACCCTGATCTCCAATCTCATGCCACTCCAGAGATGAAGACATTAAGCTTAAGGAAAAAAGGTGCATGAGAAACTGTTCAGGTGGAGAACCTGTTCTCATAGTTTGCAAAAAGGGACTACATCAAGGCAAGATTATTACAGGGCTACAGTGCAGAACAGAACATCAAGGATTTTAGGAAAGGTAAATTTTCCCAGAAAGGACTTTCAGTAGAGTGAGTGGCTCACCCCACAGATTGAACATTTTGACTTGGCAACTAGTCAATAACATCATAAAGACAAGAACCAACAACAACTTAAGCAGATACAATAGAAATGGCCTAACATTTATTAAGGAAAACTTCATATAATGTTGAGGAAACAGCAGGTAGCATCAAACACTGTGAAAAAAACAAAATAAGTCTTTTCCAAAAAAAGCAAAGACTATTCCAAACCTCATGAATACCCCACAATTGAGAAGGCTGATGATATATGTTGATATAGAGATATTCAAACAGCAATGAATTAAAGTACAAATGATGGAAGCAACAAATAAAAGGAAGCTGCATATAATGGAAGAAAAATGGAAACCATCAAAAAAGCAAACATTCCAGAGACATGGAGCCAGATGAAATATATTGCTGAAGAGGAACTTGCACAACTACAAAAGAAAATGCAAAAGATAGAAGAAACAATTGGAAATATAGATAAAGAGGAACAAGAACTTAAGAAATCATCACAAGATAGAGTAGGTAGAGACAACACAGTACTGTAAATAACAGAAAAGCAAGAAAATTCAATCCAGAATATTGAGACTGAAATAGCACAAGTGTCCAACATACTTGAAAGACATAAAGGTTGAACAGAAGAGATGGAGTACAAAGTTAGTGAACTGAAACACAAGAACCTTAAAAGAAACATACTAGAAAAAAAATCAGAAATGAGGCATAAAAAAATGTTATAATCATGTAGGATGACATAAAAAAGTGCTAACATAGATATGATTGGGATTCAAGGCTTTGAGAGAGATAAGGAAATCACTAAGAAAATTTTGGAAGGGGGGTCGGGGTGCGGATTGTGTACCAACGAAGAAGTTTATCTTTTGCTTTTCAAAGAGAGGCGTGAACTGGGGTGGGGGGTAAAGAAAAAAGTGCAACAATGAATGAATGAAAAATCCAAAATCTCTGTAAATGTTCTTTAAAATTAATAAAAAAGTTATGTGTGTTCCGGGGAAATAAAAGAAAGAAGAGGTACTAGAAGAAAAATTCACAGGTATTATGAAGAATGAGGAAATCCACATTCAGGAAGCTCAGCAAACACCAAATAAACTAAACCCAAAAAGGAAAACATCAAGCATATTCAAATTCTCCAAAATTTTAAAAAAAGAATACTGGAAGCAGCACAAGAAAAACAAAGAGCCACCTACAAAAGAAAATCAATTAGCTTAAGTTCTGATTTTTTAGCAGAAACCATGCAAACAAGAAGACAATAGGGCTACATGGCAGGAAGCAGCACTGTGTACACAACACTTTGGGGGGAAACCTATTTAGTTATACCACAAAGTACCCCTAAAACTTAAGCAGAAGGAGCAGGACAGCTCGAGGAGCTCCAGTGAGGTGTTGAGCTCCAGTGAGGTGTTGAAGCCAGTTCTGGAAGGTGAAAACAGGCTTCCTGGTTTCCGATTCATGTACTTTGTGGGGATCACTTCTGTTTCACAACACCATACAAGGCCCCTTAAACTCAAGTGGAAGGGAGCAGGGCAGCTGAAGCAGCCCAAATGAGGCAGAAAGCCCAGTTCTGGAATGGAACTGCCATGGGACCCTCAGTCCTGTGGGCCTCAGGCCAAGAAGGGACCAAAAATACACAGGTGCTTCACAAAACATTGCCATACTATATAGGTACAACGAACTATCGTTTACTAAGAAGAGACTCAGATAATGTCAAGGAAGCAGCAGTCTGTTTCAGCTATCATGAAAAAAATACTTCTCCTAAAAAAGTAGACGAAATGAATACCCAAAATAGAGAGAATCAGAAGAAATATTTTGATGTGGATTTATTTGAACAACTACAGAAAAAGATGTAAATGATGGAAGAAATAATTAAGAAAGCAAATACGCAAGAGACAACAGTCCAGAAGTAATATATTGATGAGGAACAACTTGAGCAGCTATGGAAGAAATGCAAAAAATGGAAGATAAAGAGGTTCAAGAACTTAAAAAAATCATCACAAAACAGAGAGGGTACAGCCAATACAGCACAAGAAATTACAGAAAACCATAAAAATGCAATCCAGAATATTAAAACCAAAATAGCAGAAGCAACCAACAGATTGATAGAACAAAAACGTAGAACTGAAAAAATGTACCAGAAAGTAAGTTTGAAGACAAAAAGCTCAATGAAAATATACTAGAAGAAAAATCAGAGATGAAAACTCAAGAAAACATTAGAATCATGTCGGATGACATCAAAAAGAATAACATACATATGATTAGAAATCCAGAACAGAGGAGTGACAGGGAAATTATTGAGAAAATTATGAAAGAAGTACTAGAAGAAAACTTCCCAAGTATTTTGAAGAACAGGGAAATCCACATTCAAGAAGCACAGTGTGTAGCAAATAGTTGTTGCTGTTGTGTAACGGGATCTAGCCCTGTTTTATCAAACAGCTCCACCAAGAGAAGGGGCAAGGATAAAATGAAGATGTAGAGAGACTATTCGCTGATGGGGAATAGCAATTTTATTCAGGAAAAGGCCTATATAGGTTTAAGAAGCATGGCTGCAGGGGTAATCACATTATCTCTTATCTGTCATGAGATGTTGACTGTCAGGTCAAACATAAACCCTCCCAGACCTCAACACAAAACAAAGATATCTTCCAGAATGCCTTATTGTGTGCTTTGAAGAACAAAGAGTCTCAGAGGATTAAGAGCATCACATTCCTCAAAGTCTGAGACCTTTGGTCACTCCCTATTCATTAGCATCCTGCTTCCTCGAGTTGTTTATTGCCAAGCAGATGTTATAGCCAAGACGGAATCAGTCCTCCTGGTTTTATAATGCAGTGCTAATCTTGCTTTACAAGTTAGCCAGGCTCCTGACAGATATGTGCCATCTAGTCGCTTGTGACCCATAGCGACACTATGTACAACAGCCCTAAACCCTGCTCTATCCTGTGCCAGTCACACTGCCTCCAACACACCCATCCCGATTACCCCAGTCACTGAATCAATCCACCTCATAGAGGTTCTTCCCCTCTTGCACCATCCTTCCACCCTCCCAAGCATGATGTCCCTCTCCAAGGACCAGTCCCTCCTTACAACATGTCCAAAATATATTAGACGAAGCTTCAGAATCCTTGCCTCCAAGGAGCAGCCAGTTTAACCCCCTTCAGGATGAATCTGCTCGTTTTCTTAGCAGTACCTAGTACCCTCAATACTCTTCTCCAACACCACAGCTCAAAGGCATCAATTCTCCTTCTAGCCTTCCCAGTCATTGTCCAACTCTCTGAAGCATAACAAGTGATTGTAAAGACCATGGCCTGTATCAGACACACCTAAGGCTCCAGAGTGACACCATTGCTCTTCAGTATCCTGGAGAGGTCCCTCACAGTAGACTTTTCCATCACACTACGTTTTTAAATTCCCTGGCTGCTGGTGCCAAGAGTGTTGACAGTGGAGCCAAGCAGACTAAAGTTGTTAACAATCTCTTCACCATCCATCCTGATGTTACCAATTGATCCAGTGGTGAGAGTCTTTGTCTTCTTGATATTGAGCCTCAATCTATATTGAAGGCTGCAGTCCTTGACCCTCTGCAGCAAGCATTTCAGGTCCTCCTCAGTTTCAGCAAGCAGGGTGTGTCATCTGCATAACACAGATTGTTGATAGATCTTCCACCAATCCTGATGCCACACTTCTCCTCATAGAGCTTAGCATCATGGATAATCTGTTCTGCATACAGGTTGAAAAGGTATGGAGATATGACACATCCCTGGTGTACACCCTTCCCAATTTTGAGCCATGCAGTGTTTCCTTGCTCTGTTCCGATGACTGCCTCTTGGTCCACATACAGGTTTTGCATTAGCACGATCCAGTGTTCTGGGATTCCCATTCCTCTCAGAGTCAGCCACAGTTTGTTATGATACTGGGCCAAAAGCAGGGACAACACTGTAACTAATGGTTAACTCCACAATAAGGGATATATCTTTCACTTTTCTATAAATTGATTGTCTGTCAGATACTTCTCTAAATCTGATCATTCAGAATAAGACAGACTAGGAAGAAGGACTGGCAATCCACTCCAGAAATAGCAGGCCTCTGAAAACCCTATGTACAACAGAACACATGTAGACTAACAGAAAGGGCAACTGAGAGAGAACTTTCAAGTATGGAAATACAAAGGAAGAAGAACAGGTGTAAGCAGAAGCGAGTGACTAGAACATGGAATGTGAGAACCTTGAATGTAGGAAAATTAGTATTGTTAAGAAAGAAATGGAACGAATATTGACATACTAGGTATTGGTGAGATGAGATGGACCAGCAAGGGGCATTCTGAGTGAGATGATCATATGATATATTATTCTGGAGGTGAAAAGGTGAGAAAAAATGGGATTGCTTTCATAGTTAAAAAAGTCATTTCTAGATCCGTCTTGAAGTACAATAATAATGTGACAGGATAATATCCATACGCTTACAAGGAAGTCCAGTGAATACCACTATCATTCAAATATATGCACCAACAACCAGAGCCAAAAAAGAGGAAAGAGATGATTTCTACCAACTTTTGCAGTTGGAGAGCGATCAAACATGCAATCAAGATGCATTGATAATAATGGGTGACTGGAATGCAAAAGTTGGGAACAGAGAGGAAGAATCAGTAGTTGGAAAACATGGACTTGCTGAAAGAACAGAAGCTGGAGATAGAATGATTGAATTTTGCACAAATGACTTATTCGTTGCAAATTCATTTTTTAAGAGACATAAATGCAGGTTATACACATGGATTTCACTGGATGGTATGCATAGGGATCAGATCGATTACATCTGTGGAGAGAACTGCTGGAGAAGCTCAATATCAGCTGTGAAAACTATGCCAGGAGCTGATTGTGGAACAGACCACCAACTACTCATATGCAAGTTCAAGCTGAAGCTGAGGAAAATTAAACCGAATCCATGTTGTTATTGCTGTTATGCGCCAGTGAGTCACTTGCGACTCATAGTGACCCTATGTACAACAGCCCTAAACCCTGCTCTATCCTGAGCCAGTCTCACTGCCTCTGACACACCCATCCCAATTACCCCATCACTGAATCAATCCTCCTCATAGAGGGTCTTCCCCTCTTGCACCATCCCTCCACCCTCCCAAGCATGATGTCCCTCTCCAAGGACCTCTCCCTCCTTACAACATGTCCAAAGTATGTCAGACGAAGCCTCAGAATACTTGCCTCCAAGGAGCAAGCCTGGTTTAACCCTCTCCAGGATGAATCTATTTGTTTTCTTGGCAGTGCATGGTACATTCAATACTCTTCTCCAGCACCACAGCTCAAAGGCATCAATTTTCCTTCTATCCTGCTTAGTCATTGTCCAACTCTCTGATGCATAACAAGTGATTGCAAAGACCATAGCCTATATCAGATGCACCTTAGTCTCCAAAGTGACACCATTGCTCTTTAGTACCCTGGAGAGGTCCCTAACAGCAGACTTTCCCATCACAATACATTTTTTATTTCCTGGCTACTGGTGCCAAGAGTGTTGACCGTGGAGGCAAGCGGACTAAAGTTGCTAACAATCTCAATCTCTTCACCATCCATCCGGAACCAAAATATGTCTTCGAGTTTATCCCACCTGAGTTTTAGAACCATCTCAATAAGAGGTTTAGGCCTTGAACACTAATGAGCAAAGACCAAGTGAGTTGTGAGAGGATGTAAAACATATCATCCCGGAAGAGTACAAATTGTCATTACAACGACAGAAGAGGGAAAAAAAGACCAAAGTGGGTGTCAGAAGAAAATCTGAATATTGTGCTCGAGCGCAGAGAAGCCAAAACAAAAGGGAGAATTCAAGTTACTTAAGAGCTGAATAGAAGATTCCAAAAGGCAGCACAGGATGACAAAGCAAAATATTATAATGAAATGTGCAAGGAACTGAAGTCAGAAAATCAAAAGGGCCTAACTCGTTCAGCATTTCTTAAGCTCAAGGAACTGAAGAACAAATTCAAACCTCGAGTTGCTATAATCAAGAATTCTTTAAGCAGAATATTAAATGATCCA